AGGGTAGAAATGCCACGAGTACAGCTTCTACTTGATTGGGTTTATCTTAGCAATCATGCCATCACATGAGACCAAGAGGCCTATTGAAGTAAAGTCTGCTAGTCAAGATGTGTCTTATTCCAGTCTCAGTGCTTCTCCTCTGGCCTTCTTTGGTTGACAGTGGTTAGAGGAAGTTTAAAAAAAAAAAAGAATCTGGTCATTGCGATTCTTTACCAATAAAACCTCTGAGGGTGCCATGGAAAGCAAAAGGGCTTAATCTTTCAGCTATGTGCCCAAGAGCTCACTGCACCCGAAAAGTGAGTATTAATGAAAAGTACTGTTTTCTAGAAAAAGTAAGTCTAATGCCCTTAGATGAAGAGGACTAAGTATACATCTCAATTAGATTAAAATTCAGCGTACGTTACAAACTCTAAGCTTTATCTTTTTCTTCAGGAATCATATCAAGAGTTTAAAGTTATCTTTGTATAACTTCACACAGCAACCTATTTGCAGCCTCATGGCCACGTTTATTAGGATGTTGGGAGTAGTGAATCCTTTCATTCTCACTGTAAAACATTACTAACTTAACCATGTATTTATCAGTCTGAAATTTGATTATACCTAGTAAGTAGACTACTTACTACACTGCAGCCATTCTAAGAGTTGGAATAGGGTTTGCCAAGTTTTACTTCAGTACTGCCCCATCTAAAATAATGTCATGTAGTTGCATAGCTTGTTTCCCACAAAAAAATGGGGGGGGGGGTAAGAATAGGAATACAAACTGTTTCTAATAAGCTGATACAGAAGCCTTAAAACTGCCAACTAGCTTGATGACTAGTAACCTATTTTTTGCCACATTTGCTTCCTGATTTTTAGATTCATTTTCCAAAAGCAAGGCTTAGCCACACACACATGAAAATTCATTTAAAATGTTCTTAGTTGTCATTCTATGCTTATTGCCTATGGAATATGTTAATTTCTAAAAGATAAAAGGCAGGCACCAAATTCCTAATTTATCCCCTCACTCCAGTTTAAGACTGGCTGTAATTCAAAAGATAAAAAAACAAAACTATGAAATGATTTGAAATCTAGTATGTAAAAAAGTTATCATACAAGAGAAATTTTATGCTTAAGTATCATGGCAATATATGCAAAGTTTAAATGAACGATGACAGAAATCATGATTTTAGACTATATATTGTGCTGTTTTGAGTACACTTTATTTATGAAAGTGATATTTAGTATTTTCTATACACTCTGAAATCATGAGCATCTCACTTTTTCTAAGTCAATTATTTCATAAGGATTTTATTAATAGATATTGGTAAATAGAACTTTGGAAATCTTAATTCAGAATTCTTACTATACCTGAGGCTTTTGTAAGCTATAGTTTTATGTACAACCTTGTACAGTTTTTTTGACATACAATTCAGAATCTTGTTTATTCTCTTGGACTTTGTTCTGGCCAATACATTTTTTTTAAATCTTTAAGAAAAACTGTGATTGCTTTAGTGGGTATTTTTCTAAGTAAATGAAAACTTGTATAATGGTATTTTAGAGAATGCCAGGTAAGTGCATGTTTCAAGTTAACGTTTTTCTCATCATTTGTGTTTATATGCAGCATGGGACTTTAATAAAACCATCCTGGAAACTTAATAATTGGTTTTCTTTCCCCCTGAAACTATAAGATGGTATAATTTTTTTCTCATCTTCTATTATGTACTTGTGCTAGTAAACTAATTTATCATTTTCACCTTTCTTTCATGATCTTCATACTCCATATTTAAACAATCTATTTTGGCACATCTCAATTCACTTATACTTTAGCATCACCCCAAGTAAAATGGATGAAAAGGGTAATGAAATAGTTTAAAAGAGGCAATAGAACAGCTTATGTAGCTTAGTACAACTACCCCAAGACCCTGCACAAACGTACAAGTATAATAATTATTATATAATTGGCTTGGCCCCTGTAGCACAGTGGTTATGGTGCCAGCCACATACACCAAGGCTGGCAGGTTTGAAC